ACCACTACAACCCCATCTGTCCTTTGACAGCAGACTCCCTGTTGAGCTCTGCCAGTAGGGGGCAGTAGAAGGACACCACAGGCGGGACCAGACTGTAGGCAGCATCCTGTTCCTCTCAGCCTCACCTTGACGGTGTCATTTCACCCCAGCAGCTCATTTTGTTTCAACAGCAGCAGTTGATTCCAGTTTTCCCAGCACTCCCAGAATCAGCTTCATGATACCTGTTCAAAGACAACAGCACCCACCAGCTTGAGATATCCTTCTATTCAGAGGTCTGGATCCCAGCTCTGTGGACCCCTCCTCCAAGCTTCTAAGTGTGAATTCCAAGTTCGTCCCTGCGTTCCCCCAGCCAGAGGAGTGGAAGCTACTTCCTGTAGTTACAATTCCCCTGATATTCGTGTTTCCTTTTCAACTTTTCAGTTAACAAATCTTCATATTAAATTATTTCTCTTAAAATAACTGGCATGATGTCTGTTTCCTAACTGGACCCTGACTGCCACTCACGTTTATTATTCCAGCCTTTAGTCACTCCAGGTAAGAATAATCAGGACAGCCATTACAGAGGAGGAAGGAGGAAAAGCAAGCTCAGTATGTTCCATGTTCTGCGTATAGCTCAGTCTCTGCAAGTAGCTGTTGTGCTGATAGACTCCTGAATCATACCTTCAGAAAAGCAGAATAAAATCTTTTCTGGATAATGCAGAAAGCACTTGAAGAGTCTGAAGAACCACAGTATCAAATTCCATTGACCATTAAATGAGAAGGTGGATTCAACACAGATTCCATAACATATTCTGGAAGGTGCTATGAGGAATAAATCTTTCTGCTGGGGTATTGTTTGCATGTTTGCAGTTGCTCTAGAGATAATTACCATAATATATTGGGCAGAATAAACCAATGCTTTCAGTTAACCTCTTTTATTTCTTCAACAAACTTCGAGGTTCTACTGTGCACCCATAAGACAAGTTCCCTGCTGTCAAAAAAAGTACAAAAAGAAAAAAACCTAACTAAAAAAATGGTAAAACTGAGTAGTAAGGACATTTTCCAATTCCCTATGTTTCCTATTATTTATGAGGCAACTGTTATTAAAGCATTCTTGCCTCTTTGAAGACAGTTATTCAAATCTATTTGTGATTTTAATGTGGATACAATTCCCAGTATTTCCTTTCTTTACTCTTTTTTGAAACCTTTTTTGGTAGTGAAATATTCTACACACACATAAATATACAGCTTAATGAATTAATGTAAAATGAACATCTATGTAACCACCACTAAGGTTAGGAAATATAATCTCAAAACCACCCTTCCAGGGGCCGCCCGGTGGCGCACTGGATAGTGCGCCGCTTGAGAAGCCTGGCGGCGCTCCCGCCCGAGGGTTCGGATCCCACATACAGACCGGTTCCCGCTCACTGGCTGAGCGAGGCACGGGAGCGGCGCCGAGGGTTGTGATCCCGTTGCCAGTTCCGGTACGGGGGCAACACTGAGGGTTGCAATCCGTTGCCGGACACGGAAAAAGACAAAAAAAAAGAAANAAAAAAAAAAAAAAAAAAAAAAAAAAAAAAAAAAACACTCTTCCCCATAACACTCACGCTACCTGCCAGAATTCACAATTCTAACTCCATGGGAATCATTACTTTGCTTTTTCCCCCCAATACTTTTCTGTGCTAAGTATGCAATTCATAAGCATAGTAGAGTTGAATTTAGCTTGTCTTTAATTTTTATATACAAAATCATACAGTATGTATTTTTTTCTGAGTTTTCCTTGTTCCATAGTATACTTACCACCATGATGTTGCAGTGTGCGTATTTCATTCATTTCTACTGTGGTGTACTACGCCAGTATATGAAATACCACATTTGAATTAACCATTCTATTGTTGATGGACATTTCAGCTATTTCCACTTTGGATGCACATAAGCACATACTTCTTTAGGGTAAATACCTAAAAGTGAAATTGCTGGGTCCTAAGGTGTACATGTCCTGGATAACGCCCAGCCACTCTCCAAAGCGGTTGCACTAGTTCGCACTCCCACCTGCAGACTGTGAGGGTTCTGTGCCCCACATTCTCCCCAACTCTGGGCCCTGTCTGGTGAGTGTGGTATCGTACCCACTGTGGTTTTAATTTGCCCTCTTATGATTGTTAATGAATTAAGTACCTTTTCAATGAACAGTCAATATTATGCTCCATTTGGATTGTTTTCTTCCTTTTTTGTGAAATACCTGTTTCAGTCATGTACCCATTCTTTCATCGGATTCCATGGCGTCTTGATTTGTAGGGCTTCTTCGCGTGTGCTCGCGGCTTTATCTGTGGCAGTATCTCCCCGCACTCGGCGGCCTCTGCCTGCCACCGTGGGAAAGTCGGGCGGCCCGACAGCCGCCTCTGCGAGAGCGGCCGGGCGCCATTGTCGCGGCCCGGGCCAGGGCAGGACCGCCCCTCCCGCGCGGGCCG